ATTAATATATCTATCGATCTTTTCTTATAGAAAATCGTTTTATACTACTTTAATTTAAATTTAAAGTTTATCTATATTCTTGATAAGTAGATTATTTGTATATCTTTTCTCTTTAATAATAAGTTAAACCTATTTAATTAGATTAAGATCTAAGGATTTAGATAGGTAGTAGCTTCTCTTAATCCTATATTTTTCTCTTTAATCGACTATAATATATATTATATATTAAGATATTATCTTCGATACTTTTATAGATTTTACCGATAGTTTCTTTAAATACTTCTAAGAAAAGATATAATTCTTCTTCGATTACCTAGGAATAATAAGCTTTTACTATAATTTTACCTTCTAAATAAATTAACCGACTCTTATACCTAATAGCTATAATATATTAGATATACTATATTCCGTATAAGCTAGATACTTAGGAATGATGATAGTATTAGATAGAATATAGATACATATACTTTTACCTAACACCGAACTTCATATAACTTACTTTACTAGTAAACATAATTACACACTTGTATAGTATAATTATTCTATACATATAGGAACATCCTGCGATTCAGGATCTACTAAGAAGCGGTAGTTCCGCCACCGCGAACCCCGCCATACACCAACACTTTCTCTAACATAATACTCTATACTATAATATCCTTACCTTTAAGAAGGTTATATTCTTTTAAATATCTTATTATATAACTAACTCCTTTAAGCTTAGAAACCTATTTACTCTTTTTTCTATTATAGTTATTTAAATAGAATCTTAACTTATTTAAAAATACCGATATTATAAATATAATTAAGTCTAATTAATTAGTTTAATTTATATATAAAAGCTTATAACAAGATAGTAAAACAGATATAGTTAGAGTAATAAAATAAAAGATTCTATTACTATTTAAATAATATTTAATTATCGCCTTAGAAACTTTCGGTGTTTAACTAGTCTCGATATTAAAATAGATAATTATCGATAACTTAATTTAGGTTTATCGAAATTAACCTTTAATAACTTATTTATTTAATCTAAATTATATTTTTTTAAGGTATTTCTACTAGCTTTATTATCTACTTTCTTAGTCTCTTAAAACTTCTTAATTAAACGATAGATTATCTTATAATCCCTATCTACTTTTTTAGTGATAGCTTTTACTGATTAACCGGCTAAATACCTCTTAATAATCTTTTCTCGCTTATTAGTAGCGATCTTACGATATATAGTTTTTAAAATTCGAGGTATTTTATCGGTCTAAGATAGCGGTAGTATAACACTTAACCAACACTTATATATATATGTATAGCGCGTACAATACATGTATATACTGATGTGTTTTAGGGGGTAGGGCGTCATTCCTATAAGACACTAGTATATACGCTATAGCGTGTATAACGAATACTTGTCTAGTGTATATACATTATATAATATACGTATAAGCAGGTAGAAGTATATAAATGTTTCAGGTATTTATTCGCTATAGTATAGTTTCGTTATACGAGAAATGTTCGTTATACACACTCTCTAGAGCGTGAAAAGTAAATTTTTTCCTAAAATGTTCGCTACAACGAAGTATTCGTTATATATAGGTTCGGTATAGCAAAGTTTTACTGTATACGAACAATATTAACACGAGGCTAGGGTTAGGTTTTAGGGAGGTAACCTGAAATTTAACCCTTTACCCCCTATCCCCCGCCACCGGGGGATAGGGGGTAGCTAGCGTAAATAGAGGTAAAGCGTGCTTACATCAGTAAAATGTTACGTTTTATGTCTCCAGGCACTGCTTTCTGATTGATGATAATAAATTAGTGAGGTAGAGAAAAAGTGAGTAAAATTTACATGTGATATGTGAGTATTTATATTTGATATATGGGCTAATTTAGGGCACCAGAACTATGGATCGTCAGCCTTTGTGGCGAATCAGGCGTTAAGGCGTGATACGGCGTGATACGGCAAGTGACGCCTGTACACGTGCTAGGCGTACCGTATACGTCATATCCCAACATAAAAGTTAGCTTAGTCATACTAAATGACTAAGCATAAAAATTATATAAAAAAGTTTGTTTACATAAAACTTTTGCTAGTAGGGAAGAAAATTTAAAATTTTAGCGCCCCTAAAAAAACCTTAACCCTACTATACGAGGCACCGCCTAGGATGTATATAAGCCCGGATGATTGATTATATGAGCTTACTAAGCCTATACGTATTAGTCAGCCTTATCTAAACGTGTATGTGATTATTTAAAAAACTTATACGCTAAGAAACTAAAAGTTCTTACGCGTCGCATGCTTATATAAAAGCTTTTTACGTTAATGATAAGCTAAAAAACTTATACGTAAAAAAATCCTTACGTGTATACTAACGCGTATATTTTTTTTACACTTCTTGTACAGATAGAATTTATTAATTTCTTTTACTGAGTCAAGGCATAGTATATTTATTTTAATCTTTTTATTTACTCTTTTTAAAAAATTTTAGCAAAAACAGATAGAATCCGTTGAGAGCATAGAAATCTATTTATAGTAACAACCCAATCTATTTATAGTAACAAGCCCTACCTTTAAAGGCCTACACACTTCTGCGGCGTGATACTTGGGCCTGAGTTATTATAATAGACGATAGAGATACTTATGAAAGTATAATTCAGATTAATATATTAGTGAAAAAGTAATAATCAGGCTAATATATAAATGAAGAATCTTAATTATTCTATATACAGTAAACGTTAAAAGAAACCTACCTTATATCCTAAAAGGCGGGGGCGGAAAAAACCTGTGAATCACTAGTTAATTAGTACTGTATACGCGTATAAACCGAATAAGACCTTTTTCTATTATATAATGCATGGAGACTTTTTTGACGCAACCCCCCTCCAGAGCGTGTACGCCCTGGAGAGGCTTTCCACGTAGGCTTTTCACGCGTTTACAGGTAAAGGTGAGTGGTAAATATTATTATATTATGATTTTATAGTGATCTACTGTTACTGATATATCTTAGTTTATTGATTACACTACTATCTACTTTTAATACTGTATCTTTATAATAGATTAAATTATTAATAAATCTATCTATAGTTACTTATAGGAAATTATCTTAGGCCTTTTTAATAGACTCCCAAAGTTTATTAGTATTAGTGATATACTAACCTTTTACCTTCTTTTATTCTTTAATTATACCTTATACCTACTTAATAAGATTTAAATCAGATAATTTAGTTAGGTGGTAAGCTCTATTAATTTAGTAAAAGGCTTAGTATCGTTAGTATAATCTATATTATAGATTTTAATATTATCCTCGATACTTTTATAATAATTACTAGTAGTTTCTTATAAGGCTATTATAAATAGATATAATTCCTCTTAAATTATCTCTTTATAATAATAAATTATATTAATTTTACCTTTAAGATATATAAACTAGCTTTTATAGTCTATTATAATTATATTTTATACTATAATTATATTACTAAATAATTAATCCTTTTATACTAAATAATAAATAATCTTTATAAGCCTTTTTTACTAGCTTACCTTTTTCTTTCTACTACCTCTATGATTATCGATTCTAAAGCTTACTTTATTAGAAAATATTAAAAAGCTTAATTATATAATATTAAAACTATAAGTCTATTCTAGATATAATAGTAGGTATTAAGAGAGGAGTATAGGTTTTATAAGTACTATAAAATAATATATTTTAAATATCTTTAAGTATCGTTTAATTATAATATTATATACCTTTAGATATTAACTAGTATTATATATAAAAAAGATAATTAATAATAGGTAAAACGAGGATTCCTAAAATAAACCTTAAGTAGATATTCTTACTACTCTTAACTAAACTTTTTTTTTTCCTTCCTCTACTTTTTGAAATATAGTTTTACCTATTTCTTACTATTTCTTAATAAGCCGATTAATTATACTTAATACTTCTACTGATATCTTTAATAATTAATTTATTTAATTAACCGCTTAAATACCTACTAATAATTCGTTCTCGATTAATCGATAAGATCTCCTGATATACTATCTTTACGATCTTAGGTATTTTTACTGTAGAATATAGTAAAAGAGTAAATTTATCTTATACCTATATACACCTATATATACTAGTATATAATTTTATAGAACTGATAGGAAACGATGATATTTATAGAGAAGGTAAGAGAGGGTAAAGGTAAGAGATATATAGTAATAAAAGGTTTATAAGTTTAATATATATATATATATAAGCTATATCTGATTAGATTAAAGTTATTTATATATATATAATAAACTAAATATAAGGTTAGAAATATATATATATACTAATACCCTTTTATATAATAAAGACTAATTAGAGAAAGATATTAAATAAGTAATAATAAAGAGAGAAAAGTAAAAATTAAAAAAAGAGGTTTTATAAGAGTATCAGCTAATTAATAAAAGCTTTTAATTATTTTAAGATAAATTATATTATTTTCGATATGATAATAAATAAAATAATAATAAATATTAATATAATATATATATTAAGAATAGTTAAGTCAAGAATAGTTAAAAATATTAAATTAAATAATTACTACTTATTATAGACTTAATTAATACTATCTCTTATAGACTTAAATAAGTTAAAAATAACTATCTATTATAGATTTAACTAATACTATCTTCTATAGACTTAAATAAATTAAAAATTATCACCTGATATAGATTTAAAATATACCATTTCTTAAATAGACTTAAATTACTATCTAATATAGACTTAAAATATACTATTTCCTAAATAGACTTAAATTACTACCTGATGTAGACTTAAAATATACTATTTCCTGAATAGACTTAAGCAGTAGATAATACTAGAGCTATTAACTCTGATAGGAAATAATGATATTCATAGAGAAGGTAAGAGAGGGTAAAGGTAAGAGATATACAGTGATAAAGGGTCTATGAGTTTAATGTACGCGTATACATTATAAATGCACGTAGGCTGTATCTGATCAGACTGAAGTTACGCCAACGAGGAAAACGTAACTCAGTTCATATACATGCGGTAAACTGAGCACGAGGTCAGAAATATGTATATACTAACAAGAACACGTACATTTCACGCGAAAGCCTATATACAAGGGTACTCCAGGGCGTGCACGCCCTGGAGGGGGGTTACGTTAAAACTATTACTATACATTACTATTATTATAGACGTATCGCCTTATATATATACTCTAGTATAATTAATTATATAAGCTTCTAATATATATATAAGCTAAGATGACCGATAGAATAAGATAAATCTAAATACTTATATAGTAAGAGCGCTTATATAATTACTTACTCTAAGGTAGTATATATCTTAGAGAGATAAACCTTTTCTTATCTTTATATCTTATATCTTTTACCTATAGGAACTTTTTAGATATCGATATACCTCTTTAAAATTTAAAAGAAGATTTCTTAAAATATTTATTATATCGAAGTATTTATTATAGATAGGATTTAATATAGTAAAGTATAATTATTTTATTTAATTAACCGCTGAAGTACCTACTAATGATTCGTTCCTGATTAATCGATAAGATCTCCTGATATACTATCTTTATGATCCTAGATATTTTACTATAGAAGATAGTAATAAAAAAATACTTATCTTACACCTATATATATCTATATATACTAGCGTATAATTTTATAGAACATATATATTTCATACGAAAGCCTACGTGTAAGGGTGCTCCAGGGCGTGCACGCCCTAGAGGGGGGTTACGTCAAAACTATCACTAACCATTATATTAACCTCGATATCACACTTTCATCTATATGTTAGCCTGATTATCACTTTTTCACCGGTATATTAATCTGATTATTATACTTTCATAAGTGTCTCTATCGTCTATAGTGATAACTTAGGCCTGAGTATCATACCGTAGAAGTGCTTAGGCCTTTAAAGGTAGGGGTTGTTACTATAATAGATTGGATTGTTACTATAAATAGATTTCTACGCTCTCAACGGATTTTATCTGTTTTTCCTAAATTTTTTCAGTAAGAGCAAAAAAAACATCAAAATTAAACATACCATACCTTGACTCAGTAAAAAAACCAATAAATTCTATCCGTACGAGAACTGTAAAAAAATAGACGTGTTAGTACACGCGTAAGAATTTTTTTACATATAAGTTTTTTAGCTCATCACGCGTAGGGTTAGGTTTTAGAGGGGGTAAACTGAAATTTACCCCCCCTACCCCATCCCGGGTAGCTAGCGTAAATAGAGGCAAACCATGCTTACATCAGCAAAAATAGCTTAGTCATCTAGAATGACTAAGCATAAAACTTTTGCTAGTAAGAAAAAAACAAAAAAAATTAGCGCCTTTTTATTAGCATATACACATTCCTGACCTCGTGCTCAGTCTGCCACATACATACGAACTGAGTCACATTTCCTCGTTAACATAACATCAGTCTGATCAGACACAGCCTACATATATTTATACATGTATACATCAAACTTATAGACCCTTTATCACTATATATAACTTACCTTTACCTTCTCTATAAATATCATTATTTCCTATCAGAGTTAATAGCTCTAGTATTATCTACTACTTAAGTCTATAATAGGTAGTATATTTTAAGTCTATAGAAAGTAGTATTAATTAAGTCTATATCAGGTAGTAATTTAACTTAATATTTTTTATTATACTTAATATATATTATTATTTTATTTTTAGTTATATCGAAAATAATACGATTTATCTTAAAACTATTAAAAGCTTCTATTAATTAGCCGATACTATTGTAAAACCTCTTAATTTTCCTAATTTTCGCTCTTCACTCTCTTTATTATTACTCACTTAATATCTTCCTTCTGATCATATAACTTATACCTCTGAAGGTATATATATATAAGTTATATATAAGCTATAACTATATAGGATTTTAAGGTATCGAAGTGATATATCTAACTTATATCTATCTTTTAGTTATTTAATATATATTAGCTTTTATCTTTAAAGATTAATATATATCTTATATATATTCTACTTTCTTAATTCTTAACTCTAGTAATAACTTAGTTTAATAGTTAATAATATTATATTATATTTTACTATTATTTTAATATAAAGTTTAATATTATTTAATATTAGGTTTTAATCTTATTAATAATTATCTTTTTTATTTTTTTTATCTTTAAAGATTTATACTAATCTTATATATAATCTATTTTCTTATCTTTTAACTCTAATAATAATATAGTATAATAGTTCTATAAATCTTTTTATAAAACTTCTTTTCCTCTATTATCGAAAATTAGGTATATCGATTATTATATTTTCTAGCTTACGTCTTTTCGAAACTATTATTTTTAATAGGATTTTAAGGTTTTTTAATATAAAGTATTAATACTAATATCTTATATATATTTAATTTACTCTAGGCGCTATATATATACTCTAGAATATATTTTTACTACTTTAGAGTACTTAGATATTACTTTAAATAAAGAAAAATTAAATATTATACCGATATCTTAAGATATTAATATAACTTTTCTTATTTTATATATTAATTATCTAAGGTTAATAGAATTTTATTTATATATATTCGTTTTTAATATCTAAGTAGTAGTATAGCTATATAAATATTATATAATAGCTATAATAAAAGCTATATAAAAGTATAATTTATTATATAATATAAAAATAGATAAATTATTTAATCTTAAAATATTTTTAATAAATTTTTAATTAAATATTAATTTATTATTTTTTTAAAATTCTTTTATATTAAATATTTATTTAAAATAAAATTAATTAATTAATTATTATTAACTTTTTTCTTTTTATTTTATAATCTTTATATTATTTAAAAATCTATCTAATATTTAAATAAATTTAAAAATTTATTTTTATAATTAAAATTATTATTTTTAAGATAAAATTTTAATATTATTATTTATTATATGATATATAATTATATTATAACTTATATAATTATTCTTAAATTAGATATCTTGAAAAATATTAATATTTATTAGTTTTACTTTATTTATCTTAATTATTAAAGGATTAATTAAATTAATAATAATAGAATATATTTATAATCTAAATCTATATCTTATTCGTATTTTATTTATATTTCTATATAATATATAATACCTTCTTATACTATAGAACTTCTACTAGAATACTGGTTTCCCGTATAAAAATCTCATTAAAATCATAAAAATTTCTCGTGCTAACACGCGCCTTAAGCTCTACCATAGGAAAAAAAGCTCAACCAATGGACGTCCGGACGCTCCAGCTTAAGCGCGCCCTAGGGACGTTTGGACGCCGGCCAGGAAAAACGCGTTATTTAAAAAGTAGCACAACAAGAAAACGTTCTGAATCATTCTTAATATGGCAGAAAGAGGTCACCATCATGTGTGTTAACATTTACGACCTTTGGTCAAGTGGGGAGATACATATCGTAATGACCAATAAAGGTCGTAATTGTTGTCAAAAATATCGCCATCATCTTTTTGCTGTAGATTTGTTTATGCGCCTCCGCTATGGTAGTAAGCACACAACAAGTAGAATTTTTATTAGCATCCAATCGGTTTTCATATGTGCCTTGGATAGGCCACATTAGGTTCACTCACACTAGGACATGATTGATCGGGATATGTATGAGCTTGACAAAGTAGCCGATAAAGCCCATTACCACGAATCCCATACCGACTGCGCGACAAGTTTGTAGAAATTCTGCATGCGAGCGATTCCCAGATCGACAGTGAGGTCCGACGAAGGCAATGAGACCGCCGAGTACGGTAGCGAGCAAGAGTCGGAGCGCATGTTCGATCAACCACAAGACCATAATTGAATAACGAGAGACCCAAGTGATATAGCCGTATTCCACAATTGATTGAAGGTGACGATTGGGTTGAATTTGTATCAAAGTGTGGGTGATCATTGGCAAGATGAGGTGAAAAGAAGAATGAATGAAGTGAGAGAGATCAGAAAATCGATTCGAAAACGACGGGTCATCTTTGCTATTCTACTCACCTTTACGATCTGGCTTTGTGCATCTGTTCATGAATTGTGTTCCTTCACGAACGAAGCCTTGAGGCAATTCGATCCATTCTCGAATATTATCAGCCATGCTGAAGGATCAAAAGAAGGAGAGTTGTATGCTGAAGGGAAAGGGATGGTGTCAAGAAGGAAAATTTGGCTGGACAAAAGAGCGCTGACGAACGCTGCGCTGCGTGACGCATTTTATGCATTGACCAACAGAATTAGATGAATACGATTACATAAGCACAATGTTGGGATATGACGTATACGGTACGCCTGGCACGTGTACAGGCGTCACTTGCCGTATCACGCCGTATCACGCCTTAACGCCTGTTCCGCCACAAAGGCTGACGAACCACAGTCTTGGTGCCCATAATTAGCCCATTTGTCAATTATAAATAGTCT